GGGTCGGGGGGTTCCCTGCCCAGTCCTGATGCCTGGGCCAGAGGCATCAGGCCTGGGCTGGGGGCAGAACCAGTGATGGGGGGAAATGAGGGTCCCCTGCCCAGGCCTGACGCCTCTGTCAGAGGCGTCAGGCCTGGGCAAGGGGCCGATCCTGCGATTGGAGGGTGGTGGGGGTCAACGCCTGAGGGCTCCCAGTATGTGAGAGGGGTCAGGCTGGGCTGAGGGACACTCCCCCCCACACACACCAAGTGCACGAATTTCGTGCACCGGGCCCCTAGTTTTATATAAATGGAATTATATAATCTGTGGTCTTATGTGTCTAGCTTCTTTTATGTAGCATAATGTTTTCAAGGTTCAGCCATGTTGTAGCAGGTATGAGTACTTCATTCCTTTTTTATTGCCAAATATTCAATCCTATGGATGCATACACCATATTTTGTTTATCCTTTCATCAGCTGGTGGATATTTGGGTTGTTTACACCTTTTGGTTATTCTGAATAGTGCTCGTATGAACATTCACATACCAGTTTTTGTTTGAACACTTATTTTCAACCAGAGTTCCGGTGCATGGATTCGTGATTGAGGAGGATGTGGAAGTCCCTCAACCTGGCCTGCTCCCTCTTGCAACCTGGGACCCCTCAGGGGATGTCTTACTGCTGGTTTAGCCTGATCCTCGCAGGCCAGGCCAGGCCAGGCAGTCAGACATCCCCTGAGGGATGTAGCAGTGCACCAAGCAGCAGGCGGCCAGGGAGGAACCTGCCTGAGCCGGCACCATGCTGCTCATGCTCATCCCAGCCCACTGTGCCTGCCACTACTGCTTGGTAGCACTGCCGCGGTGTTAGGAGAGGCTCCTGTCATGGTAGCTGTGCTCACCAGCCATGACTCTGGCTTCTGGCAGAGTGGTGCTACCCCTGTGGGAGTGCACTGACCACCAGGTGGCAGCTCCTGTGTTGAGCATCTGCCCCCTAGTGGTAAGTGTGCATCATAGCAACTGGTCGACATGTTCCAGTTGTTCATTTGTAACAATCACTTAGGCTTTTATATATATACTAGAGGCCCAGTGCACAAAAATTTGTGCACTGGGGGGGGGGGGATCCCTCAGCCCGGCCTGTGCCCTCTCCCAGTCTGGGACCCCCCCG